AATGCAAAACAAAAGCAAGCAATTCTATTTTTCTTTTAATTTTTTTTTCGAGGGTTTTTGTTCTTACTTTTAAAATTATTTTTAGCTGTACCTACTCGCAGCACATTTCGGAAATATTGTGCAAAGTGGCAACCGGCAAATAAGTACGTACAAATGTACGCCAGTAAAAGTGGAGACGCAGACAGACAGTGAAAAGCTATGGTGAACGGTGGAAAAGTAAAGCGCAGTGACGGCGGCGTGGAAGCTGTATGCTCGCTGCGCATTTATTTGAATACATAAAATTATTTTATATGGCATTTATCTGTATAATTACTTTCAGCTATAAACCATCAATTACATTTTAGATTTAAGGTTATTTAAAAAATGGATATGTACGATGTTTTAAACGCCGGGTGACATCGAACAGCTGTTTTTAAAATTCAGCTAAGAGTACAATGACAGCATGACGTTCAATACGGCTTGCTTTTTGGCGACAGAGTTCGCTAAATGGATTACTTATTGGTCTGCAAAAAAAACAACGCAAATAAAAAAAAAAACAGTGATCTTATATGCAGCACGAGCTTGCCAAGGTTATTGTATGCAATCTCGTTATTTTCACTGACTTTTATTTTTGTTATCAATATTGCAATTGTATGTGTTATTTTTATTGATATCGATATTTTTAGTGTTACCGTTGTTTTCATTGTTATCGTTATTTTAATTGTTATAGGCACTTATTTTCATCCGAGTTTTTTTTTGTTGTCGGTACCGTTTTTATATCGATATTTTTTTTATTGTTGTCGATATAGTTGACGCTATTTTTACTATCATCGTTATCTTCACCGCTATTGATATTCCTATTTACATTTATATTTTAATTGGTATTGACAATTTAAGTGTTATCGATATCTTTATTGTTATCGCTATAGAAATTTTTTGTTTTGATTATTATCGACATTTTTGTAATCGATATGTGTTATGTTATCGATAATTGTTATTTTATCGATATTTTTATTGTCATCTACATTTTCGATATTTTTGTTGTTTTCAAAATTTAATAAAAAATGTAGAATATATGTATGTACAAACTAACATGTATACTTAAATAAAATAAGTCAAGACTTTTGTTTAGGTTACTAAAAGCTGAATGGTAAGTTTTGACTTGTTTTATTTTATATATGTACATATTTTATTGGACATGTTAATTACAACTTTGTTTTAAGCATATTTTTGACATTTTACTTTGAACTTTTTGATTAAATTTTTTTCTAAACGTGCTAGATTTGTGTTTAACAAACAAGCAAATTTTTCAGTAGATTTAAATTTAAGTAGATAATATATATACATACATATATTCTATATAAGAACAAAATCAGACTACACACAGAGATAACGATTTTTCAACTGTATTGTATGCACATAGTATGAAGATCGCTCAAACTTAGCCTACCGTAATAATAATCTTCGCGCTTTTCTGTTTATCAATCAAGCTCTTTGTTGTTGCCAGCCAACAAACAACGAGTAAGTTCAAACTCACCTTGAAATGTTGACGAGTGCAAAGAAGAACTGGTGCGTTTCTTCTTGCGTCGCTTCTTTTGCATTTCCTCCTTATGACGATTGAGTTCCGCCTGACGTTCAATTTCCGTCATTTTGGGCGCCTCGCTGGACTCATTGCCCGAAACATCTTCGCTGCTGTAGCGTGTAATTTCATTATGGCCGCCTGCAAATCAAAAGGAGAGAACAGAGAAAAGCAAATAGTTGGTTAATAAAATTGTTAATTAAATTTTTGGAGATTTTCAGTAATCTTTCTCAGCTTAATACTCAATTAACTACAAAGTGTGCATATACTATATACATATATGCTTAAATATACCATGTAGAAAAAAAAGAATCATGTAATCAATAAAAATAGCATTTTTGTAATGCATTACGCGACTCGCTTGAAATAAAAGCAGCAAAAAGTTTATAGTGAAATCAAAAGCAGAAAAAAAATCGAAGAAAAAAACAGCTTTGTAACACATTTAAAAACAATGAAATAAATTCAATTCAGTTGTTGTAATAAAAATTCAGACAACTTGTAAGAGGCAAATGATCGACAAGGAATTTCGTTGGCAGCCAAAACAGGCGGCGCTGGCGAACTGTGAAAATATTTATTTAGTTGCATTTTCATTTGAAAATGAATTCTCAATGCGCTTTTAGTGAATTTTGTTTACTTTTACTTTAAATTTGGTACGATGCCTCGCGCAAGGCTCATCATTTCATTCTAATTCGTTTTCATTCAATATTCTGCAGCTTTCTTTGTACTTGTATATAAAATAATACAAGTAACAGAATTACAAAAAAAAGTAGTAGATATTGGCATGAAAAATATTAAATTTTATTACTGTCTTGAAGCACTGAATAATTTTCTCCTTTAGTGGTTTATATGTATATATTTTAGAATCAATCCTGCGAAGGACAAATATTTATCACTTTTTATAGTTTTATATCTATATATATAAAATTCAAATTATGTATGTACCTATAGACACACTTGGCTCCTAAACGAATAAGCCGATCGTAACCAAATTTTACACACGCACTGGATATCTTCCAGGGATGGTCACAGGGTAAAAAATATTTTGATATATAAAGGGGGCGTGGCCCCAAAACGTGGACCCGGGTAACCTTAGGATGTATTTGTTTAATATGG